TCGGGGGGGAGACCTTCTGCAGAGCCATCGGCGCGGCAATTGAGTTCAGAGCCGGTTGAGAAACAGCTGACACCGGAGCAGACACCGGAGCAGGTCAAGATACAATCAGGTTGCAATGGACCACCCATGAGGGCAACCTATGCTGGTAGATCGGAGGAATTTTGCGACGGTATGGGACTTTGCAGCCCGGGGCGTTGGCACCCCAGTTTGCGACAGTCAGACAAAACAGGGGCGCAATCTGAATATTGCGGCAAGTTGGCAAGTTTGATTGACAAGTTTTTTGTGTCAGCAAGCTTGGAGACCTTTCGAAGGCTACGATGCGATTGGCCTTAGGTCGCTTTGAGAGCTCACCTTTTACGGAAGCTGACTTGGACGAGCTGCGCAAGGAGTGGTTCAAACTGTTGCCAAACCCGGTTGAAGCCTCAACGATTCCTCCAGACCAACCTTTCTTCCTGCATGCCGTGGCTCAGTCACTTAGACTTATGAGCGACCCGGACGTGGACATCATCGACTGCAAGGGTGAGTCCAGTTATGTAAGTGGGGTCCACTTGGGTCATTTGAGTCCGTTAGGACCGACTCCACAAGTTTACAGGCCACGCGCGAAGGATCCCAGCTACGACGAGTCCGATTGGTCGCTCAACATGGACAACTACTTCCGCGGAAGTGAGGAGGAAGCGGAAAGGATCCTTGCAGAACAATTCAGAGAAGAAGAAAGCGCGGGCCGCATGAAACCTTTGTCTGAAAAGGAGGCCCAGAAGATGTACCCGGGCAATGCGTTGAGAATAGCGGCTCAGGGCATTTTGGACAAACCAGATGGAGGCCATCGTATTATACACGATGGTACCCATGGAGTTCACTTGAACAATGAAATCCGGATTGAAGACAGACTGGAGAATCCGGGCCCCAGGGAGCTAGCTTGCATCATGGAAACCTCAGAGGCGGCGGATGAAAGGGTCATTTTCGCGATCAACGCTGACATTGCAAAAGCTCACAGACGTGTGCTTGCCAGGCCGTCGGATTGGGGCGCTCAAGCTTGCAAGACATCCAGTGGGTCTTCGGTTGTCTGGCTTAACAAGGTGGGTACATTTGGTGTCGCTTCAGCGGCCTTCTGGTGGAGCCGTTTGATGGGCCTTGTCGGCCGACATGCGTTGAATGTGATGGGAAAGGATTGGATATTTGTTTTGACTTTTGTGGACGATTTACATATTGCCGCAGGCGGCAAAAACAGGTGGCTTTCAATTTGGCGTTTTCTGGTGGCCATGGAGTTGGTCGGTACCCCCTTTTCTTACAGAAAGTTTCGGGGGGGATTTGCTTTGGACTATGTTGGCTACTGGATGGACTATAGCAGATTTGAAATTGGCATCTCTGAGAGGAGGACTGCATGGCTGGTGAACTTTATTGACAAGCTGGAAGCAAGCGGCTGGCTTGTTATGGTTAGGAGGTTCCATGAGTTTCATGGAAGGCTGGGTTTTTCGGCCCAGGTCTTGCCTTGGATAAGGCCACTATTGGCTCCGGGCTATGCCTGGCTTGCAGCGGTTTCCAAAAACTCCACCATGAGAGTCCCGGAGTTGGTGGCGACAGTATGTATATTCATTAGAAAGAAATTTACAGACGGTCTGAGGAAGATTCCATGCGTGCGAGCAGAAACTGACTTAGGGAAATCTTCCGTACAGATGCGAAATGCGAAGCAGGAAAGGTAGTGCTTGGCGGCTGGGTGACCTACAACAACACCAAGCCTAAAGATGCGGCTTGGTTTTCCTTGGAAGTATTGCCAGGCCAAGCGCCCTGGCTTTTCCAGGGCGAACAACATGAGGCAGCTTGGGCAAGCACCTCTGCGGAGCTTTTGGCATCCCTGGTTGCACTCAAGGTTTTCAGAGTGGACTCCTTTGCAGGGCCTGGTCAGAGATCACATGTCCTTCGTTGCGGAGGAGGTACTGACAATAAGGCCACAGGAATGCTGGTCCAAAGAAGACTCAGCACGAAGCTGCCTTTGATGATAATTCTCATGGACTATTTGGCCTTTTCTGAAGAGGTTGGCATTAGATGCGATTTGGACTGGCGTCCCAGGGATGTTAATGTGGAAGCGGATGATCTCACCAACCAAATCTTCAACAAGTTCGAGATGAACAAAAGAATTCAGGTGTCGTGGGAAGACTTAAGGTTTCCTATGATCGACCTCTTGATGGCCTTCACCGGATCCTTCTCAAAGAGAAAGTTCGAGGCCGCCACTGCAAAGGATACCGGAGGAAATGCCAAATTTCAGAAGTCAGAGTGGGGATGAAGGTCTCGTTGGCATAGGGGTTTTAGCTCCCCCTTTTCATCCCAGCCAAAACGGCTACGGCTTTTCTTTTACGAAGGAACCTGATTTGATCGATGCTGTTACGCATCCTTCAATTGACAGAAATGGCATTTCTCCACCTTTGCAGTTAAAAAGAGAGGAGCGCTGTGCTGCTGATGTTTTCCACTTGATGCAGTTGCTTGTACAAACTTGTTTAACCGTACGCGTAGCGTTTTAGGTTTTAAAATGGAACAAGCCCCAGTTGGGTAGTGTAACGTACCAACGGGTTTGTTTCTTAAGAAACCTCTGGTGGGGGGGTGGGTTGTTACCTCACGCACGTTGACCCTTTACCAGTAGTGCGTCAAGATGTTTCGCTTTCAACAACGTTGTACATAGTGACCGTTTCACGCAATCACCAGTTTTACCTGGTCACCAGTTTTACCTGGAGTAACCTTCGACGTCTTACGTTCGCATTCGTTTTCCGTTGGCGGTTTTACCCGCGTTTAATTTACGTTCTGTCTCGTTGCAACGTTCGTTATAACGATACGTTTCCTCGCGACGTCAAACAAATCGGGTTTTACCCCAAACAAACCTTAACAACAGTTTTTCAACTGCTGTTTCGGTTTTCACCGTTGTGCTTGTGATGTCATCTTGTTTCACTTGTCAGTTTCAGATTGATGTGCATCTTCAGATTGAGTTTTGACATTTTGTTTCCGTGCAGTATGGCTGGAAATTTTGGCACCCACCCTCAGCCACCCCTTTTGTTGTTTCTTTTATGGAACCGTTTTCGCCATTTCTTTTCGGGCGGGGGTTTTAGCTCCCCCTTTTCATCTCAGCCAAAACGGCTACGGCTTTTCTTTTACGAAGGAACCTGATTTGATCGATGCTGTTACGCATCCTTCAATCGACAGAAATGGCATTTCTCCACCTTTGCAGTTAAAAAGAGAGGAGCGCTGTGCTGCTGATGTTTTCCACTTGATGCAGTTGCTTGTACAAACTTGTTTAACCGTACGCGTAGCGTTTTAGGTTTTAAAATGGAACAAGTATGAAATGTATGAAATGTATGAAATGTATGAAATGCAATGTATGTAATGCATGTAATGTAGCGTGTTTTCATGTAATAAAATGTAATGTGATGTGATGTAATGTAGTGTACTGCAATGTAATGTCATGTAATGTAATGTGATGTGATGTAATGTAATGTATTGTGCTGTAATGTAATGTAAGGTAATGTAGTGTATTGTAATGTAATGTAATGTAATGTAATATTATATATGTGGATATAGTTTGGTTAGGTCCCCGGTGCAATATTGCAGAGATGTTGCGCACGTTTCAAATATGCCTGGCAATTTTCAAGGATTTTGTTTTTGTTTCACAAGAACAGAAAAGAGTTGAGATCAGTTGAGAAAGAGTTGAGGAAACCCAAAAACAAATTCATTGAGAATTGCGGAGAAGAACCGAGAAAAATTGAAAAATAGGTAAACATTGGAAAACATTGAGAAAAATTGAGGAAAACAACGAGAAACTGAGATGAATTGAGAAGAACATGAGAAGAACGGTTTGGACCAGCTGCGAAGAGCTGAGAAGAGCTGAAAAGAGGAGAGAAGAGATGAGAAACGATGAACATAACTGAGAAAAACCTTTCAAATAGAAACAAAAAATGTTAAAAAACAAAGTGACAAACGCAACGGGTTGATTGACACTTTATAAACACTAAGGCACTAAGGGTTTCAAATTTTTGACATTCCCGCCCCCGGCTTGCCTGGGAAGTATTAGTTGGATTTGCAGCTGGAGTGGCTCTTGACCATGCTATATCGTGATCTATGTTCCACAAGGCAAATTCATGCCATATTTTGTGAGTGTTGCCATACGATGCCATTCTATTCTTGAGACATTTTTAAGAGCAACCCCGCGCACGTCACCTATGTGTTTCTTGATTTTTGATGCATGAAATCAATATGTGAAACGTTTTATCGGATGGAACCTTGAGTGTGCACCCTTTGCTGAATGCTTCGTGCACTCCGTACATGTTCGAAAAAATATCACACTGTGTACGAAAGCCGAACGCACCTGCCGCGCGCATTTTCGATCAACATTATCATTTGACATGCGATTTGGCATTTATTGCATACATTTTTGCAACAACCATGTTGATGTTTCATGACTGTTGGTACACTGTGGTTGCGTGACGGATATGACAAACAAAACACAATGTTTTCCAGGCTGCAGTAAGGGTTGAACAAACTTGTACCATTCCAACAACGGTCGGAAATATGGGTCCAAACCACTGACTCAAGACGTTGAACGGCATTGCAATGAAGTGATTGCAGGTTGATTAGATCTTCCAAATGGTATTTTTGAGACACGCAATTTTTGAGTTCCGAGGACAATTTATGATGATAAAACATTGAAATGTGCACAGTGAGGCCCTTAAAACCAGGATGATATGTTCTGACACGTTTGGGTGACGTGAAAATAAAGGTAAACATTTAGTCTTGATTTTGCCACAAATTTAAATATGATTGTGTGACATTATGGTGTTAAATGGAAGCTGGCTCAAACCTGCAATGGTGTTTTGACACTGGCTTCGGGGGATCCGGAAGCTTCAATCCAAGGCTTCCACCAAATTAGGGATCGGGACTGCAATTTTGCAGTCCTTCCGGTTGATTCAAATTGTTAAATGCTTCTGTGAAAAAAAAACATTTGTTTGGAAGGCCTGGTCATGCTGTTCTTCTCCTTCTTTCGGACGTTGGTTGACAGAAATGTGCAGGTGTCGCGGCAGCAATTCATTTGCAATCACCTTGAAAACACTTGAATATTTTTGTGGACAATCCTTGAAACCCAGTGGACTTAGGTCACAGTTGAGCTGAAAAATGATTTGTGCATCACAGGTTGGATTGCGATCGCATTTGGCATTATGCAGCTGCATTGAGCGTTTCCGGAGCTGTTTATGTTGAAATTGAACATTATTGAATCCTGATTAGAGACCTATTGCCATCGAATCTCATGCATTCTATTGCATGTTTGCAAAGGCACTTTGCAATCTGCAGATCAGTTTCTGAACTTGAAACTTGCAAACGCGCTGCCCTTATCCCATGGAAACACTTCCAGACCTGACACCAATTATAATTCAACACTTACCATTGTGAAGTGAGGTCAGTGTGAATGATCCAGACCGATATCCTCACTTGCTTTCAGTGAAGAACTGCTTTATCCGAGGCATTTCATTTCATTTGTGTTATTTCAGATGTCATTTGTTTGCACAATGACTTTATGAATTTTGCATGAAATGAATTTCATTTGCTGTGTGGAGGATCCGTGGTACGATATGTCCATTTGCCGGCGCATGAGGCAAATTTTTCCTTGATTAAGTGTTTGGATTTTCCACTGAGTCAGGTGATTATGTAGTTTTGCCAAAACGGACCAGGACAAGGAGGTATTACAGTTATTACAGCCAGACTTTGCCAGGTGGACACAGAATCATTGCAGGATAGCTGTCGCCGAGAAGCGAAGCAGGTGCTCAACTCAAACAGGCTGAAAGACACAGTTCAAATATGTTCAAATGGTTGTGCCCGCGTTGTGTCGGCATTTTTTCGAACAACAAATCATCATATTCTTAGTTTTTTCTTTGTATTCGCTTTTGCGCTCAATCGATACTCAGGTTAAATGATGGGCGTTCTCTGCGGAGTGGGATGCTCCGCAACAAAGCTGGAGCGCCAAAAGAACACAGATCTTGTCGAACTTGTCCGAAAGCAGACCTTGTATCGTTTTCTTTTTTGCCAGCATGCTCGTGACATGGCACAACCTGTCGCAAATAGTGGTTTCATGTTGGTTGGACATCAGTGGGAATGTAAGTGCACACACTCTGACTAATTGGGTGCTTCTAAGCTTTGAGTGCTCAATCAGACTGCACACAAAAACAAGATGAGGATGAATTGAAACCACCGATATACTGTAGGTGTTTTTGTGTTTTTGGCCTTGATTTCTGCGCAAACAACGAATGAAGAAGCGTAGCTCATACGGAAGCACCAACATGTTTGTTTTGGGTTTTGCTCAGCAATAAGGTGACCAGTACACATCCGAAAATCCAGCTCCAATACACAGCGGAAAAATCCAGCTGAAGAGTTGCAACGATGTTTCTGCAATGGATGCCTTGCCACCGGGGGCTTTGCCGAGCTGGATTCAGGTTTGCTTTGGGTCTGGCAATGTGCCCACTCAGGTATATATATAGATATTATAGAGGGTATAGACGGTATAGAGTGTATCGGTGTGAAAACCGGACCAAGTCTTTGATTGTCCAGGAAGCCTCGGTTAGACCTGATGAAAATGTCCCTGTTGCAGTGGCTATGAGTTGCGTTTCGGAGCAAACAATTCATAGTTTCCTGTTTGTTTGGTAGCAGTGTAGCAATTTTCTTTCACCGAGTAGGTCGGCGGGAAATGCCGTTGGTGGTCTGAGTCGCAGCAGACGCAGGGCCCTTGCTTCACTGTGTTACTGTTACTCCTTGTTTGAATTTGTTTCACTTCAAGACATATTGCTTGGAAGAGTCTGGTTCAGCGTTTCCAGAGCTGCTGAGGCATCACCCTGTTGTCGTGACAGCTATAGATGAAGTCAAGAGGCAGATTTGAATGCAAGGGTGATGTGCTGCTCTGAAGGAATTGCAGGAGGGACGACTCTTCCTTCTCTATGCTCTGCTTATTTCGTCAACTACTTGATTAGGCCCAATATGTAAAAAAATATATTTGGAAATGCAAGTAACATGACACAGGCGTGTTGTGGTGCACTTCGTCGCCAACCATTCTGCTGCTTGGCTTGAACAGCCACCGCAATCCCTCAAAGTCAAAAGGTGACTCTGCAGATCTTTGCAGAGGAGTTTGGGTGGGAGTCAATAGGAGTTTCAATGGGTGCCTGCGTGCTCAAGGTGTGGAAAGAAGTGCCTTTCTCTCAGATTGGACGTGGTCCTTTGCGCCCACCCGGCCCAGAAGCACTGGACAGTGGAAAGCCAAAACGAGTGCTGAGTGTGAATGAGGCTGGGGCTGTGTTTCGGTTACGGTTAAGTCCGGTTAAGGGTAGTTTTTATATGTTTTCATTGTATATTTGTTCTGACTAGTCCCTGTGAATTGTCTCGCTGTTGTTTTGGCTGTGATTTGTTGAGAGGGAGTTTGCCAGGAAGAAGCGAGAGTAGATGGCAGAGCTACACCCCCTTGGTATGAACAGCTCAATAAGGCTGAGACTCGCCAAGAGGCTCGCAATACTGCAGCGTTTGGTACAGATCTCCTGGATTTGGCATGGTCCGGACATGTTCCTTTTGACTTTCTTGTTGTACGGAGCTCTTGCATCATGAGACCTAAGGAATGTTGCTAAGTGACTTTGCAGAGTGACACTGCATACCGGGCATACCGCTGCATAACGCTGCAAGGATTCTGACAATGATTCAACTCTTTCCACACCGCTCTTGTTACAAACCCCACAGGCTGTGCAGGAGGTCAAAAGAAAAGAAGAAAGTCATGTAGCGACACAGGCCGCCAAAAGAACAGTTTCGACCGAAACCTTTCGTTATTTTGCTTTGTGTTTTCGATCAGGAGAGAAGGAGATATTTATGGCAGCAAGAGCAGCAAAGAAAGGCGGAGGAGGAAAGCACAACGGTTCTAAGGTCAAGATCATTCAAATTTCAAACTAAACTCGGCAGAAGGAAAACAAAGGGAAAGCCGCAACGAATTCCAAATCTCAAAGCACCCTCGACCAAGCAGTGTTTGCAGTTGCAAGCATGGGTGGCAGGAGCACAGACGCCGTGAGGAGGAACGTCATGCTCGTGAAGCTGCTGCAGAATATGAAAGGTGGAAGAGTTTGGCGAAAGAGAGAACACAATCGAGAACACAATAGAGAACAGTACAGAAAATTAAAAGATATTCAATAAAAGCGTTTGATAAAGTTTGATAGTCGTGAGCTTTCGCTCCGCACTGTCTCTGATTTTATTGTTTTGCTCGGAGTTGAAGTCAATATTCTCGACTTTGTTTGAATCAGGCTTCGTATCTTGGAGAAGTTGAAGAAGGAACGGGAGGTGACCTAGACAGCATTCAAAAACTTGGAGAACATCATGCAGTTGTCAGTCATTTCCATGCTTCTTGAGCCTCCCTCTCCACTCTGACCAGTTGGAACCTTCTAAGGAGGAGCAGCTGCGACAGTTTGAAGTTCTTCTAATGAGCAAAGAGGATGAAGTGGGGGCCCACACAGATTCCAAACGTGCTTTGTAGTTTTGCACAGTTTTGCACTACCCTCAATCTTGGTCTTGAAATGTCTTGAAGAAGGTGTCTTCCAAAGCCAATGCTCTTTGGAGACAACGAGAAGATGTTGCTCGAAGGCTATCTTCTGCTTCTTTCTATAGACACAGCATGAAACAGTCTGACAGAGTATGAGACAGTATGGCTGAATATGGCTCAGTATGTGTCAGTATGACACTGAGATTTTGTGCCTTGATGTGCCTTGATGTGGCTTGATGTGGCTTGATGTGGCTTTAACTGCCTTATCTTTTTGTAAATCTTGTCTTTCTAAGTCTTTCATTTCTAGGCAAAAAGAAGAGGAAGAGCGACAGCGCTTTGAAGAGGTCGGCAGAAAGATCGCCTGCAGAGCCTGAAACTCGCACCGCTCAAACTGACGCTGCATTTGACTCGACCAGGAACATCTCTTATTAGCTCAAAAGTTGGAAGAGGCACAGCTCGGAGCAGCTAACAGCATGCAATTAGCATGTAACCGCTCCAAAGTCCCTTCGTCGATTCGACTCTGGTTGACAAAGATTGCTTTAGACTGCGTTTTCTTCGTCTTCACCTTCAACTTGCAACCTGGATAGGAGAGGGCTTCGAGACCACGAATTGCCTTTGGCGTGAAGACAAGACAAGATCCGGTCAAGGCGTGAACGCTGCAGCATACATAATTGAAATATAATTGAAATTAATTGACGTGCATGTGAGTCAGATCGAAGTATAGTATGGCCGCGGCTCAAAATGTAAGGCCCTTCACCCTGGACCAAGAGGCGATCCGCCCCGATCCATCTACTCTAAGGGAATATGATCTATACGATCCATACCCATGGATGACAAGTTGTACTTATATCAGGCCACTAGTATACAGTATACCTTCTCAGTAGGTCCATACCCATATGCTTGAACAGGCTTCCAGTCCAGCCATCAAGGTTCGGCTGGGGTGAACTCGAGACCGAATACTATGATGAAACTCCAACTTGTCCAGGACATGAGTGAGATTGGCATAGATTGGCATAGATAGGTGTTATTTAAGCAATACCTGACAACTGCCTCCTTGTGGCAAGGTTCCGATGATTACCGAAGCCCCAGGGCACCCAGGAGTGGTGCAGGGCGAGGCAGCTCAACTCTGTAGTCGATTCAAAGTGAAATCGTTCTTACGGCAACGTTACTAAATGAACGTATGTTTACTGATCACAGTGATGTCATTAAATTCCTGATTCTCATAGGATGATCTAAATTTTTGGTAACTTGAACTCAGAAATAGCTGTTCGTGCCGTCTCTTTATTATTTTTCATTCAAATGTACAGTAAACCCATGGTTACAAATCAACACAGTTGGCAGCACTGCTGGAACGTATCTTCTGTGATCTCCTATGTGTCTTCTGTCAGTTGTCTTCCCTGGATGTCCTGCAGCCTCGATCTCTTGAAGAACTGCCTGAAATGCAGAGCTCCCAGCTTCATAGCTCCTCTGGAATTTGCACTTGTTCCAGCTCTTCATCTGCATCAACACTTCAATCTTCTTCTTGTTCATCGCTGCGAGCTCTCCACGAGGTCAAATAGCTGGGACTCTTGGGATACTTGGAGTGAGCCTGCAAAGCTTCCTGATACTTTTCCGTCAGTTCGACCCATGCAACCACTGGGGCAGTCAGCATCTTAGCATTTTTGTGAGACAAATTATGGACAGCGTAGGATTTGTGGCTTCTCAATTCCACCTACCAGACTTATCATGGCATCCTCTCTGCACTTGACATCTCCAGACATCCTGAATACAAGGCTGAGCGCGCAGCTTCAGCCTGAACAATCCGTCCAACCGGTCAACCCCAGGCACTGCTTGAATTTCAGATCTTTGAGCCCCTTGTTTGCAAGCAGACAATCCGCATAGCAGACAATCTGCATATCTTTATCTTTTTTGCACATCGAACTACAACATTGTAACATGCTTCACTGAAAATTTTGTTTGTTTACATTGGGACCTTGTCCTAGAAGTGTATGGCTGTCCACTGTCCACCTCTTTGGGTACCAAGAAGATTGGTACGTATTCCAGATACGAGCAGCCAGAACCTCAGTGCAATGTCGGAGAGTCTGTGGATTTGGCCTGCAATGTTTGCTGATCTTCAGGTGTACCAGCAACACAACCCGGAAAAGTTAGCTGATGTCAGGCACCCAAGATTCTTGTAGCTTAAAAGAGGTTGATCATTGTGATTGAAGAGCAGCTGTATAATTTGGTGTAACAGAGCTTTCCAGACCTTGGCCAGAGCTGCTTGAAAGTACCAAAGTTGCTTTCCTTTGGATGCGTTTGAGCTATTTGAGTTTTGGAGTGGTTCGTGGATGTGCCAGGGGCTCAACTTTGATTCAACTGAGATTAGGTTCCGCATCTAATGCAAAAATATGCTGGCTGCGAAGACGAGATGTACGATCGCATCTGTGAGAAGCGGTACCCTCAGAGGGCCCCATCAGCTGCTTGCACTCTTGGCAAGTTGAATCTTGGAGAGAACACAGGAACTCGGAGTCGTGGACACCTGAATTGGCATTTTTTGAGCTGAGTCACTTGAGCCTTGCGGTCTGTGCGCAACGGTTTGAGCTAGGTATGGTGTGCAACCAATTCTTCCACCACGAAATCTCGAACCGCTTCCACCACCGCCTCCCTCACAGTCGAAGGAACCGGATCTCAAGGCTGTCAATCGGCCGTCAAGTTTTCTTAATTCAAAGTGACCAGATGTTACCAGTGCCATCCAGTGCCAAGTTTGCTCGCCAAGTGCATCACCTGCTTGGCTTGTTTTGGCTTCCTTTGACTTCTATCACCTTTGATTCTTTAGTTCAGTGGGAACCTTTTCTTTGTGGTGCTGTCATAGATTTGAAGTTTCAATGCTTTGGCATCTGCCTGTGACTGTTGGAAACTGTTGGAAACATCATGAGACTATTCTGAGACTGTGAGGAGTTCTAATGGATAGAAATGGATAGAATGAATTCTGAGTGATGGAAGGCAGTTGGCTTTGCCCGCAAAGCTAGCGCTCCAGCTCCGGTTCGCCGACATGAGGTCGATTCGTAACACATTTTTATGTAGCACATTTTCCATGTTTGACCTATTATTTAGAAAACATGCGAAGGTTGGTCACGAACCACATCCTTGGATAGGTGAACCAAGCCAGTCAAAGCAAAGAGCAGGCTAATGGCTGCAGAGTTAGCATTCTTTGAAGATCTTGAGGTTGCAATCGGGTTGTGCAGACAGCCCAAAACGATTCCAATTTCAGTCATGCAGTGCAAAGTTGCCGCAGGGTGATGCGCCATCGACCTCCGACCTGTTGGCAAGGTGCTATCTTTGCCTGACTCGTGCTGAAATGAAGTCGCTTGATATCACGGTCTATTTTTGTGACAGGTTTCAAAACCTCGTGAGGGATAAGCCTGAAGGCCTGTCAAAAGGTGATCATAAGGCCTGCTTCTGGCTCTCAGATTTTGGCAACATCTTCTCGGTTTCCATTCCTTTGACCTGGACGTACCAGGCTCCACCACCGCAGGCCATGACTGGTCTAGTGAGCATAGCGAAGTCGCCAAGTCATGGCGTCATGGCCAGGACTAAGACTAGGACAAAGCAAACAACAACTTCTGGAACAGTATCTGAATATATCTGAATACCTTTGACTATTCCAGCCAGCTTCCGCAGGTAAGGCGTCAGTCTGCAGACCGGTGGCAATCTTCCAGGCATCTATCTTGCCATGCTGAGATCAACGGCTGAACAATCTGAAGAATAGATAATAGATAGATTCGATAGATGACTTGGGGTTTTGGTTTTGGACGCTTGAGATGACTGATGACATCTCATGAAGTCAGTCATCTGACATCTCATAACATGCCCTTCCACGTGCAGGAGCCCCCGACCTTTCCCTGGAGGCCTCCATGTCACAGATTGCTTGCAAGGTGCAGCCTCTGCAGCGGAAATTGGATCAATCATAGTGTGCCCGGAACACAAATTCAAACTCCAGTTCGAACTCAAACTGTTTATATCTGTTGTTTCAAGTCTTACCTGTGGCCATATACATGCACTCTTCTTGTTCGAACTTGAATGTGAAGTGTCCTCCTTTCGTGCTCTGCTTATCTCCAGCTTTATCGCTGTCCCCCATTTCTTGCTAAATTTTTATGTTTATGAGTCCAGCAACACAGAGAATATAGGGTTTGACCAAAAAAACAACACCAGAGCGAACAAAAAAACAAACTAGAAAACCAAAATCAAGGAAAAAACAAGAAGAACACAAAAAGAAAACAACACGCCAACAAGATAAACAAGAAAAAAACAAAAACGAATAGAAAACTGAGGAAACTGCAGGTTCTGTTCTTGTTTTTTGTTTTTTTCCTTTTTTTTTGTTTTTGTTTTTTTCTGGTGACTCTTCCTGTTGCGTTGTTTTTTTGGTGATTCGTTTTTTGATTGTTTTTTATTTTATTTTTTATTTCTTGCTAAAATCAACTTTCTCTGTTCTACACGGGGTCATAATTTTATGTACTTGATTTTCAGTGTAGACCAAGGAGATTACAGCACCTTGGTGTTAGGGGGTCCCCTTCAGAATTCTGCATAGGAATATAATGGAATATGGTAAAAGTATGTAAATGTACACAAAACCCACAGGCTGATGAACACGCCCTTGGCATAACAACATGCCTCTTGGTAAAAAAAGAGAAATGTTTTAAGACGTTTTCAAGCGCTTCCCTGCCTTTGCAGAATGTTCACATTCACCAGCATGAATGACATTCGCAACATAAGCTTTCCAGCACTTTGCCCACCGATAGAGCACGAAGACCCACCCTATTGAATTATTGAACCCTTGTGCGGACGTATCTTGCACTCAACCTACTCTTTATTTTCCTGGAGTTTGCTCTCCTGTCCAACAGTATGGGAGCTTGAAGGCAAAACGGCACTTTTGGACCCAGAGAAATATGAGAACAATAACAATTTGATTCATAGAATCCAAACAATTCCAAACATTACTTTTTGGATTGATATTCTTACTTTTTTTTTTTTAGTCTTTTGATATCTTTCTTCTTTTGCGCAGGAGCTTCACGAGGAAGGTCTCATGACGGTCAACGATCTTCTGGGACAGTTCTTAGTATGCATATTTGGCGGTCATTATTTTCTGGAGCAGCAAAAAGTAATATGTTTGCCGACAAATAACTTTTCCTTTGCTTCAAGAACACTGACATTGGGTAGAAGTTTTTAACATTTTGTCAGCTACACTTCCACTTCTGGAACAAGGTCACATCTCCAATTGGAGCGAGAATGAGGCTACCTACCCCCTCTGGACCGGAGGACAACTGCAAAGATTCTAGAGGCAGCTTGATACAGAGCAAGAAGCTGTGATGTCAGGAGCGATGTCAAGTGATTTTTTCAGCAAGATCTGTCAATTTGGATCTTCCAGATATGTTTGTCAAAGGTCCTCCAATCCCATCCCGGGCTTCGTCGGGGAGGCAAAACTGTTGGCTTGCAGACGTGTATTAGGTTTAGTCGGTTTAGTGTATGACCAAATTCATCCATTTGCAGGTCTGTTTATCCGATTGGACGCGCTCCACAGAGGCGCAGAGTAGAAGCCAGGCAGAATCACAATTTTCAGTTTTTTTTTTCTGTGATGAACTGTGATCGTTGTGGCGAAGTTTGGGTTGTGAAGGAGTTTGAGCCAGCCAGAGAGGGAACGAGATCTTGGGCCCCGACCTCAGAGGAATTGGCAAAACCGCTTGCTTGGAATGAGGGCCGCTGCTGCGCTGCTGGCTGTTGTGTGTAAGGTCAGCTGCTCCGCCAATAGGCATGAGACCTGTGCCAACCCAGCAACCTGACAGGCGATTTGAACGTGCTCTTCGTGTCATTCACCAGTTTCTTGAATTCATTTTTGCTCAAGTAAACAAAGTAAACTGATCTATGGACAGAGATGCAGCAACAGTGGTGAGAGCAGTCAGAGAAGAGAAAGAGTCAGAAGAGAAAGAGACAGTGGAAAGAAGATCAGAAGAAAGAAGATCAATCAAGGCGCGCGAAAAGGTAGAAAAGTCGCGAAACACTGTGTTTTTACAATGTTCTGTGGCTCCGGAGGGTCGAAAAATAGGCTCGATAAAGCGGCGGGTGCGGAGCCATATATGGTCGTATGAGAGATGAAAAATTGCATGCCGCTGTGGCACGAAGCACGTGTGGAAGCGAAAATGTTAAAAGCACCTCAGCTTCGGAGCATTTCTGGAAGTTGACATATTCAAAAAGTACACACCGTTGTGGCGCGAAGCACATTTTGAAGTCAAATGCCAAAAGCACCACATGTCCGGACCACTTTTGGAGCTTGAGATGTTGAAAAAGTGCACTCTGTTGTGGTGCGAAGCGTGTTTCCAAGTCAAAATGCGCAAAGCACACCATGGTCAGAGCACTTTTGGAAGTTGAGATGTTGGAAAAGTGCATGCCGATGTGGCGCGAAGCACGTTTCCAAGTCAAAATGGCAAAAGCACCGCATGCTCTTTTGGAGCTTGATGTCGAAAAAGTGGACTCCGTTGCGCGAAGCGCGCTTCGAAGTCAAAAGTGTTAAAAACTGATGGTCTCGGACGGCTTGTCGGATGCTGTTGTCAGTGGCAGGTGCAATGGGTTTTGCACCTGGTCAAAAGTGAGCTTAACGTGGAGGTTTTGCATTTTGCGTGTCAGTCCTCTTGGTCAGAGATGTTAGGGAGTTCAGGAGGGCGCTGGGTTGCATTTTCGACTATCAGATCTTGAGGGTTTCCAAGATGATTTTGCGTGACAGGTGCAGCACTTCGTGTGACCTGGCTTCACTTTTTCGGCCAGTCGCAGTACTTTAGACAGATGGAGTCCAAAAAACGCAAAGCCATTGGTACGAGGTCGCCAGCTCTGCAGTCAACTATTCATTTCTGAAGGACGTCTCGCAGAATTGCTTCGTTTTTGATGTTGCCAACTTCGAAAATTGAGGAAGTCTCGCAGAATTGCTTCGTTTTGACGTTGTCAAGTTAAAACATTGAGGAAGTCTCGCAAAATTTCTTCTGTTTTTGATGTTGTCAAGATTAAAAATTGAGGAGGTCTCGCAGAATTTGTCCGTTTTGGAGCTGTGAGAATCTGTTTTGGGAGGAAGTCTCGCAGAATTGCTTTGTTTTGGAGCTGTCAGCGCCGACTTCTGAAGGAATTCCCAAATAGAAAGATGGAAAGATGGACAGCTAGATAGCTGGATAGCTAGCTAGATAGCCAGATACATAGATGGATAAACCCATAGATGGACAGATGGGTAGATGGATAGATGGAAAGAAAGAAGCAAAGAAAGAAAGATGGATGGAAAGATGGATGGAATGGATAGATGGATAGATGGATAGAGGAGTAGATGGATAGGTGGACAGATGGATAGACCGATGGATGGATAGATCGGATAGATGGAAAGATGGATAGATGGATGCATGGATAGATGGATTAATAGATGGATCGGTAGATACATGGACAGATAGACAGACAGACTAGATAGATAGATAGATAGAAAGATAGGTAGATAGATACATAGATAGATAGGTAGGTAGGTAGGTAGATAGATAGATAGAAAGATAGATAGATAGATAGGTAGATAGATAGATAGATAGATAGATAAGAAAGATATATAGATAAGATAGATAGATAGATAGATGGATAGATAGAAAGAAAGAAAGATAGATAGATAGATAGATAGATAGAAAAATACGTAATACACCTACAACTACAACTACAGCTACAACTACGAAAACAACTACAACTGCAACCAACGACAACGACAACGACAACAACAACGACCACTACAATATTTTACGCCACACAACAATACACCATACCACACGACACCACACGACACGACGCTACACTGCAACTACAGCTACAACTGCAACTACACTAATTCACACTACACTACACTACACTAGACTACACTACACTAGACTACACCACCCTAGACCACAGTACACAACACTACAGTACACTACACTGCACTACACTACATTAAACTACACTTTTTACACCACGCCACAACTGCAACTGCAACTACAACTACAACTACATCACACTAATTACATTATTGTGCAACTACAACCCCACTACACTACACTGCACTACATTACACTACACTACACCACACTACACTACACTACACTACACTGCAACTACAATTGTGCTACACCAAACTACATCCAGCAGTTGTGTGTGAGGTGACTGCTGCAACCATTGCAACCAGTCCAAAAAACACAACTCCAACCACCTTTCGGTCCATCAGTGGATTCGCTCTGCCATCCATGCATCACAACAACTCACCTCTCCTACAGTGTCCTATCTTTGAAACTTCCGCCACCGCTTTGTGCGGCACTACTGGTATTGGTTTCCCATCTTTGAAACTAGAACCCGTATTCATAATAAACATAAAAACTGTGACTGTCTGTGTTTAATTCCGACAAATGAATGGGCGGTTGCTTTGCTGGTGCAGGGCAGAGTGCATCGCTGCGCCGAGACGGCGAAGCGCGGCTCCAAGCTCTTTGCAGCAAATGGGATCCGGAGAGATGCTCCCAGGGCAAAGGGAATGTTAGGATGGTTAGGATAGAGATGGATGGAGATGATGCAGGCAGGGTCCTGCCACCAGTAGCCACTTGTATCCAATTCTGGCCCTTTGTCAGACTTTGTCACTCGGCCAAGGTCCCTTGCCAATTGGTGCCCCGTTGCGGGGCAGTGTCGGGAGGTGCTATCGAGATCGTGCAGCACAGGACTCATGAAATTTATAGCAAAATATATTAATATATCATGATACATCATGTAACCAACGGTAACCATGTATCAAAGATCAAACATCGATAGGACTCATAGGACTCGCTTATGGCACCCACGGCCATGACTGAGTTCCAGGAGCTGAGAAGCAGCGGTCCTGGTTCACGAAGCAGGAGCAGAGAAAGAAGGATATTCAACGATATTCAACGGCAGTGTGCCAACTTTTCCAACATCACTCTCATGACTCTCATGTATGTTCTCATTTTTTTTGGAGAAATACGTTTCGGCCGCGCAATCGTAGGAGTCCAAACTACGGACGTTTGAGCCTAAACGAATTATTCGATGAGGGTGCAAGGCAAAGCCGAAAGATTGATGTTGTTGGCGTTGACAGCCTTCTGAAACCAACAATTCAGGCGGAAGTCTTCATACTCTTAAAGCAGATGGAGCATTGAGCTCAGGACCCACAAACAGTGCAAAATGTTCAGTCGGCTTAGCGGCTTAGCTTATTTGATTTATTTGATTTATTTGATTTATTTGATTCTTTCGATTGCGGTGGACTTCCCACTTGCCCCGCTGAATTTGTACCACACTGGGACATGCTTGGAAAGAGCCTTCTTCCGCGCCAGCTGCAGTTCAAAGGCGGCTTGTGTCAAATGATCCAAAGCGTGTCTTGATTGCCCCTGCAATGCGGTTGTCACTGTAGTCAACTCAAGCAATTTGAGTTTCCACTGAGTGAGGGTCATTTTTGCGGACAACATTTTAAATGTTACCCTGCAGATTGGTGCATTGAGAGATGTTTGTTGAGCAAATGGATCCTGGGATTCTCGAGACCCTTTATGCCTCTGTTCGTACCCATACCAGTGCAACAAATGGGCCAGCACCTGCAATTTGCTTTTCAAGCACTTCCTCAGCGAAATGAAAGCTGGGCCTCAAAAAAGGTCAGTTCAAGTTCAAGTCTGATGTGGGGGTAATTAATGAATGCCACTCTCCCCTCATTTGACTTTCAAAAGACTAGCAGCCAAACGTGTTGCTGGATTCAAACGAACGTTTCGGTCCCGCGTCTAACATGTTTTCGAAGTGAACCTGCCAAGGCTGGGACGAGGTGTGAGCCTTGATCTCATGTTGATCTCATCTTGCTTGCACTATGTTGCACTTGAAGGAGTCTTGGAGTGAACAGATCGATTTGCTCAGGAGTCATGGTCAGTGGCTTCGTTGATGTGAAACCGTTTGTAGATTCCCACGTTCGCTGAAATTCGGAAAAAAATGTTGCAGCTCTGCAAATTGAGCAGAGAAGCATTTGCTTGGGGTTGCTAATCTCATCAGAATGCAAACACTCTTCGAGGTATTGCCAGTTTCCGTGCTCAAAGGCAGCTAGACCATGTCGGGAAGGTTGGAACGCTACGTAGTAGCTCTAGTACTACCATTTGTGTGGTTTGGCCTCAGCGAACCAAACACGTACTGTTTGAACCTAATCAGATGAGTGTAACACTGAGTATAGTGCAAGGACAAAGACTTACAGGCACACACGGCTTGAGGGCCCTTTCGCAAATGGCGCCTGCTTTGGACCCAGCTGAGGAACCTGCATGGGTTGTTTCGAGTTCATTCATGTGTGCAAAGAGTTTGCAAGAAACTTGTATCATCCTAATTTATCCTAATTGACTATAACGCCATCTTGTCGCTGTAGAAGCTGTACTTGAAAGTGCTTGAATTTCTTTTGAGAGCTATATACATGATCCCATTTGTAGCTCTTGATATCTGTCCCAGGAGGGTGATGAAACAGCGGTGCAGAGCTCGATTTTTGATGATGTTAGCACAGTCTGCACAGACAAGGATGAAGTACAACAGTACAAGCCACTGAGGAAAAGACCGAGAAGACAAAGAAGCTACCTGGCAGTCAAAATATTTCCCAGGCCAATGTCACAATGCGATGCTGAGCGAAAGATGGAGATTCCTTCTTGTGGTGTATGCATGCAGCCTTTGCTGGATGCGCTCTTGTCGTTCTGTCCTTCGTCGTGTTTGCTGTTCTGGTGTGAGCCTTCTTGTCCGGCCAAGGAGCTTCTCAAATCCAACAGTGCTCAATGCTGCTTTGGACATAGTGCTGCTTGGATGCAACCCTCCCCTCGTATTTATTTCGGAAAATCAATTCCCACTGACTACGACACGACATGGGGAGATCTCTGCTTTTATCCCCTGCTTGCCTCGACGTGAAGAATAATTCCCGAGAGCGTCTGAGCGCAGGGTTCTTCCAATAGTGGGGGTCTGTATCTCATCTTCTCATCTTCACATCTTCTCATCTTCACATCTTCTCATCTTCACACCTTCTCATCTTCACATCTTCTCATCTTCACATCTTCTCATCTTCACATCTTCTCATCTTCACATCTTCTCATCTTCACATCTTCTCATCCTCACATCTTCTCATCTTGACATCTTCTCATCTTCACATCTTCTCATCTTCACATCTTCTCATCTTCACAGCTGCTCATCTTCACATCTTCACATCTTCACATCTTCTCATCCTCACATCTTCACATCTTCACATCCTCATATCTTCACATCTTCTCCTCTTGCCCTCTTGCCCTCTTGCCCTCTCCTTCTTTTCTATTTCTTTTCTGAAGGTGGGGGCAGCGGCAGTGCCAACGAGACGGCACGAAACGCAACCCTTTCGCACGAAACGAGGTTCGATCGTCAAAAACTGAGGTAAAAGTGCGAGTTCAAGTCGTCCCGCGCAACCCTTTCGCACGAAATGAGGTTCGATCGTCAAAAACTGAGGTAAAAATGCGAGTTCAAGTCGTCCCGCGCAACCCTTTCGCACGAAATGAGGTTCGATCGCCAAAAACTAAGGTAAAATTGCGATTTCCGGGTTCCCGTTGCAATTCTTTCGCACGAAATGAGGGCCGATCGCCAAACACTGAGGTAAAATTGCGATTTCCGGGTTCCCGTTGCAACTCTTTCGCACGAAATGAGGGTCGATCGCCAAGAACTGAGGTAAAATTGCGATTTTTCTGTGTGTACAAAGCTTCTGTGTGCTGTGTGTCAAAGCTTCTGTGTGTAAAAGCATCTGCGTGTAAAAGCCTCTGTGATGTAAAAGCGCCTCTGTGTAAAAGCGTCTGTGCGTAAAAGCGTCTGTGTGTAAAAGCGTATGTGTGTAAAAGCGTCTGTGTGTAAAAGCGTCTGTGTGTAAAAGCGTCTGTATAAAAGCGTCTGTGTGTAAAAGGGTCTGTGTGTAAAAGCTTCTGTCTGTAAAAGCGTCTGTGGGTAAAAACTTTGTGTGTAAAAGCAACTGTGTGTAAAAGCGTCTGTGTGTAAAACTGTCTGTATGTAAAAGCGCCTGTGTGTAAAAGTGTCTGTGTGTAAAAGTGCCTTGTGTGTAAAAACATCTGTGTGTAAAAGTGTCTGTGTGTAAAAGCGCCTCTCTGTAAAAGCTTCTCTGTGTAAGGGGTTCTCTGTGTAAAAGCTTGCTGTGTGTAAAAACTTCTGTGTGTAAAAGTGTTTGATGCAAACTATTGTCTTGTACTTATGCTATATCGTCTTGATACTCCTCTTTTCGACTGCGTATAACACATCTTTAATATATGGTTTTGTAATATGGTGTCTCCATACTAACAAGAGAAGACCCTGCTCCTCTATGCTCTCGGGCCATCCGTCGTCTAGTTTTTGTTTGTTGTGGAAGGAAGCAGAAGAAACAGGAAGCAGTTCAAGCTGAGCAGTGACGCCCTTGGCTTGTAGCCTTCGACTGCAATACAGTCAAGACAATCATGACATGGCACGCAGGGAATTTGAATTAAGGACAGGAACAACAGTTTTTGAAACTTGCAAAGAGGTTTTTGAAGATCATTATACAGTCTGAATTCTGACAGATTGATTGAAGCAGCTGATGCAAAAGAGCTAAGAACTTGGCTAGCTAGTATTCAGGTATGACCAAGCAGCCCGCTTTCATCAAAAGATCCAGCAGTTGGAGGATTCTGTTTGAGCAGTCTCAAGTTCATACCAGCACATACACAGCCATACCTGGACGAGCTCTGTTGAACATGTGTTGTTGAATGCAAAGTTAGAGAGTACTGACTGCGAATTGGAGTGATTGCCTTGCAATGCAGGCCCAGCTCGCGCAGCTTGACGAAGATGCAGATGCCCACACCTTGGTACAGTGTACGTCGAATCGAATGCCGCGTAGACTGAAGCAGACTGCGGACCTTTTCTTTGAGGATGCTGGAACTTCTAGTACTGGAGGCATTTCGGCAGTGTCTTTGTGTCTCTGCTACTGCCACAAAAACATTCTCGACATTCCTGAACTATGCCAATGCTTGTGACATCTTGTGGGCCTTTTCTTTCAGCAAACTTGCTTTGCCTTGATTGAGTTCGATCACTTGCACCCCAACTCATTGGAGAATTGAAATGATTTGAACTGTACCAGTTGCGAAAAATGCGACATTGCACCATCTTCCCCACAAGCGATCTTTTGCCCATAGCTCTGATTGCTCGGCAGACGCTGCGTTGCAGAAAATTGAGTTGAAATAAGTCGAAGCATGTTCTGTTTTTTTGGTATAAAACAACATAAAACAACATAAAACAACATAAAACCATCCTAACGGAAGTTGGAGGAGTTGAAGTTGAGCCAGTGCCAAGACGGCCACGGACTTGGTGAACACTGACGGCCCTGACGGTGACATGAAGTGAAGCACAAAGAAGATCGGACGGACATCGATACGTTGAACATGTTGAACATGTTGAACACGTTGAACACGCTGAACACGTTGAACACATTTCATATGGCGAAGTCCAGCATGAAGGCGTCGCTCACTGCTCTCCGCACCAAATCCTTACCGAACTGTGGAACTCTTGGAACAGATGCTCGGCTGAATATGAATGAACATGAGATTACGATTGAAATACTGAACACAGTGGAGAATAAGCCAGCACTGAGATGCAGTGAGAACCAAAACCGAATCCGCTCATGCCGGTTTGGACCACAGCTCTTGAAATCATTCTGAGGAGTGGATATAGTAGACCACAGGCGACGGGGATGAGTGACGGTGGGGGGTCACTTTGACATGTACCTTCCTATTGTGCATGAAAGGCCTGTGCAATGCTGTTCCTGCTCTATGTGATGGTTTTCGTCCTTGAAATTATCTTGCTCTACGCAGGTTGGTGCCTAACGTTTGGACAGTTTTGAAACAGAGTTCTCTGAAACGCTCACAACAGCTGCCCATTTTGAATGCACTCAGGCTGGAGAGTTCTCGGCCTTGGAGGTGTCAGCTAGTTTTTGATTGCTGATTATTGTTCAAGTCTTTTGCATTTGCATTATTGTTTGTATCGCTGACCAGGCGAAACTTCTGAAGAAGGCTTTAATGATGATATGATGGAAGAACTCTAATGTGCAGAGTTTCACTGATTAGCACTGATCAGTAAACTTCCGACAAGCTTTGTGCGTTTCGACAAGCGCGAGCATTCCATCAGAGGTGCTGCAACTCCCAACAAAGGAGATATGTGTGGCACACACGATAGAATTCACCAGGCATCAATCCGAGCACGAAAGGGACAGCTGGCATGTGCAGAATTGCCATAAATGCAAGACAATCAATGCAGTCTTTACGAAGCTCTCTGACTGGCTAGATAAATCGTGCCTGAAGCAGCGACGGAAAACACCGTTTCCCCTTGATTGCTTTGCAACGCAGTACTGGCTTTTGTACGGGATGTGTTTGCTGTCAATGTGCCTAGTATGTTGACTCGTGTCATTTATATTTGCAATGAGGCAGAACGAGCAATTCGATAATGTCTACACTTTTACTGTAAGAATAATTCATGCAAGGTTGTAGATAGTTGGAGAAACTCTTTAGCACTCCTGTTCATAGCACAGCACATTGGTCAAGTGCCCCTGCGGGCCATGAACTATCGGCGGAGTAGGGAGGCATCATCCATTTTTCTGGGAACAAGGACAGGATCGCAATCATTCACAGCACATTTGGCAACAACTTGCTATGCTTTCCTTCACCGAGTTTGTGACTGACTATATAAGTTTTTCTTTTCCTCCATTTTGTTTGAACACCTGGAGGAGGTTGAGACAATGGTTGATTGGAACCATAGCCATAGGCCCGGTCGTATCATTAAATCCCTTGCATTCACAGGTTGTTCTTTTGTTTCTTGGATTCAGCTATTCCTGCAACTCCATCAGGTGCTTTCGTGGCAGTTCAGGCACACTAGACGCAAAACCTTATGAGACAGGTATTTTGTGTTAGTTGAACTGAGTCATACAGCAAGTGCGCAGGTGAATGTTTCATTTTTAGCGACATAAGGTCTTTGCATTTGTCCAGAGAAGCCAAACTGCCCTGAGGCTGGCCGAAGAATGTGACATTCCTATTAGATATTTGAAGTTGAAGCCCTTTCTGATTGCTGCTTCATAGACATTCATGGAGTTCTTTGGATTTTGTGGGATCGAAGTTTCCCAGAGGGCGCGGATCCCACCTGAAGCTGACGAGAACCAAGAGTCGGAGTCTCAAAATTTTGTGAAGTCCTTGAGTATCTTTCAGTATTCATTGACTAGAGATTGACTTTGAACTTGTCCATGAAATGCATGAAAGCCCTCAACTGAGGTGGCATCCCCTTCTGAGAAAGGGAAGGTGGGTGCAGAAACATGACAAAGGGATACAAAGGGACCAAAAGAGGTCAAGATGTGTTAAAGGCGTGTTTCTGTGCACGTGGTTTCGGTATGTGTCATCGCAGTTGCAGGCCACCGTCTCCGCTGAAGCTGCCGGCATCATTTGAGGCGTCACTTGTTGACACTTGTGGCAAGGAACTTTTCCAGTATCCACCGTCATTATGGGTTTCAATTTATCCAGGAGACATATGGAAACATTGTGTTGTTCTCCTTTGGCTCCCAGGCATTAACTTCCCTCTCGATCTACACTGCTCCAAGGCACCCCAAAGCTACCAAGTAACTCTGTAGACGATATGAGTCTGAAGTTGATATTTTCACTATTTTCCTATTACTCTTTCGGCGATTAGCTGCGCAAGGCTGGATGCTGATTTGATTCCTGGCCGCGTAGTTCAGAAGGCAGCACGAAAGCTGACTTGTGGAATAGACCTAGATACAGCATTGGAAACAGCCTGTGCTGTGGCTTGCTTTGACTCGGCAGAAACTTGTGTGTGAAAACCAGTGCAGGGGACACATTTCTCTGTGGAGGAGTTTCTCCCGCGTCAGGGTGAACTCAGTGAACTCCTACACTTTTTCCGATATTTTCAACATTTTTCAACCAACACAGTGGCAGCACAAGAGCGTCTCTTCACTGCACAAAGATTTGAAGTGCCTGCGTGATCAACATCGCACACAGATAGGCTCACAGGTCTAGGAAAATGAAGTGTGGTAGATTTGCAATGCGATATATATATAATATATATATAATATACATATATTGAAAGGATTCAAGATATAGCTATTGAGATGCTAAGGCTTCACAAGGACTTTTCTTCCTACTTGGCGCGGACCCATGCTTTGGATTGAATTCTGAACAGACGCATGTCAGGAGGTTGTCTTTCAAGGGAAGCTGCGCGGGCAAGATGTTTCTTGGTTGCACAAGAGGCAGTGATTCTGACTGTGTTGTGCTTAAAGATGTTTCGGAGATGTTTGTAATGATTGCGTACGATGTGTAGTCTTGAACCTGTTAAGAGCCACTTGGCAGGTGATCTTTCTGAAGCCAAAACGAGCGCCATCCTCAGAGAATTTAAGTGGCTTGAGAGCTAACTAACTTGTTGCAAGAGATCTAAGCTTGCAGGCTACAGGCTGGCAACAATACGCCCCCTGTGAAGGCAGTAGTCGTTTGCTCATGTTTGCCCCATCAAAAGGCAACGTGGTTTTAGCATCATTCTAGCACAGGATGACATCAAAACACTGAGAAATCTTATGGTTTTAGCATCTCTTCAGTGCAACCTTGACACAACTTGTTGTGGAATCCAAATCTGTAGCCTGACGGCTCAAGTCAGACAGCCACTGCCACCAATGAAAGTGGTGGTGGTGTCAGGTAGGAAAGAAGTAGACATGAGGGAAGACCAAGGATGACAACATGGAGAAATTAGGAACTCTCTAGTGCCTCCCAAATTCGGGGGGTCTCAGAGCAGCCATCTCCTGAGAGTCCGATGCAGGAGATTGAAACACAGATGTTGGCTCGTCAAGACGTGCTGTTCGGGACATTGGCGAGGGGACTGGTTAGAGTACCGCCTTCCTTCGTGGATGGCTTTATGTCCTTACATGAGAGCTAGGGACGACGGCTGTCATTACACCTTGTTTCACCGTTAGACCTCTCATGACCTCTCACTAGCGGAGTCGCAAGGTGAGCCTGCATGGCTTCAGCAGATGCCGCCTGACTCCATGGCTTCGAACAGCCAGTGGCCCATTGCTGGCGCGAACTTGACGTATGCATGGAACCAGCTGTGCCATGGCATTGCCCTGAGCATGCAGGCGCTGAGATTTGGATCTCTGGTGCACATTGCGACCTTGCACGCCAAGCAACTCATTAAAGAAAGTAGCCGCACCTGCAAAGGCATAGTACACGTCTGGCGCCTTCGCTTGGGGGCCACTGAGTTGATTAAGTTTGGCCACTGGGCATGGCAGTGTTATGGCGATGGGACGTGTCCAGTCGTACCCTGCAGAGTTCCCATCGGGAACAAAGTGGGCGACGCTATGTGATGCTCCACGCTGTGGTCTTGACTGAATCCATTCGACATGCCCTGCTTCTTGAGAGCGTTTGTCACCAGCAGTTCGTCGACGAGAAACTCCAGAAATGTGAGTTTTCCAACGGAGGAAAGAAGAGTCGGGAAACATATCACCTGAAGGAACTGGAGCGCATTGTCCCCACCATGCTGGATTATGCCCACATCAACGTGTTTGAGCTTGAGGATCGCTTTGCCAAGAGCAAGAGAAACAACGCTGCCTCGAAGCTTCAGGGGCCGCGGAAGATGGATGGGTAAGGTCTGCCGCGCGACGGTTTCGGAACACGCTCGGCTGTGGTCGAATCATGCTCGGGTCGGCCCCGCATGGGAACTGACGCTTCAGGCTTGACCACCAAAATTTGAAAAGTCTCGCACGAAAGCTTCGTTTTCATAGCTTCAACTTTCACGTTTTGAAGGACCCCTTGCACGAAAGCTTCGTGATCACATCTTTGACTTTCACTTTTTGAGGGACCCCTTGCACGAAAGCTTCGTTTTCGCATCTTCAACTTTCACTTTGCGAGGGAGGGCTCGCACGAAAGCTTTGTTTTCAAAAGGTGAGGATGCAGGAATGATGATTTGTTGTTTCTTGTCGTTTTTGGCGCCTTTTGTTTTCCCTTGAAAATTCCTTACTTTTAAGTGAGCTTCAAAATTGTACCTTTTTTTTCGGTTTGGGCTCTGAGATTCGGTTTTGGAGCTGCAATTTCTGGCGCTGCCGCGCGTAGTTCTATGGTGTTTTGCGATTGGGTCTTTGCAGATCGCACTGTAATGGCTGCATCAAGGTTCGTCTTTTGCAGCTGGGCATCGTGGATCGTATCGGAGTGGCTGCAATGTGTGTAAAAGCTCCTGCTTGTAAAATCTTGCTGTGTGTAAGCGTTTCTCTGTGTAAAAACTTCTGTGTGTAAAAGCGCGCTCTGTGTAAAAATTTGGTTGTGTGTAGAGTATTTTGCGCAAGTCTTGTAAAGGAGTACAAAGTTGGAAGTACTTTGTGCAAACTTTGTCGTACAAAGTAGTACTGGGAAGTGCTTTGTGCAAGCTTTGTAGTACAAAGTAATACTGTGAAAATCTGAGAGAAACTGAGATGGGATGAGTTGAGACGACCTGACAGGAGAAGAGCTGAGAAGAGTTGAGTTGAGACGAGCTGCGTAGAATGGAGAAGCTGAGAAGAGCTGAAAAGAGAAGAGTTCAGATGAACTCAGAAGAGGTGAGAAAAGCTCAGGTGACACAAGAAGGGATGAGAACAGTTGTGATCAGGTGAGAAGAGCTGAGAAAGGGAGATATTGTTGCTGCGAAGCACAGAAGGCTTTCCCGCATCCTATAGGCACAGTTGTTTTTCCGCTCCGTAGGCTATAAGCGTTTCAATTTTGAAACTTCCGCCCCCGTTCGGCTATAAGCATTTCAATTTTAAAACTTCCGCCCCCGCCTTTCCTGGGTACTACTTGTTTTGCTATAATGACTTTGGCATTTGGCACCTGGTTAGTTCCGTACTCTCTCCATTTCTACAAAGTGCAATTGTAGTTGTGATTTTCTTGCC